CTTCTTACTTCTTCTTCATCTGTTACTCATTCAACTTTTGAGATTAAATTAAAGAGATTCGTTTGAATTGTATTTTACATTGCGATAATTTAAAAGTGTCCATATACTTATGCACGATAGTGCATATAGAAACAACATAGTTTCAATATAGAAACAGTTATGTAAAATCTATATAAAACACTGAATCATGTATGTATATATAACGATGGTCCTTTTGTCCCTTTGCAGGTATAACGACAGTCCTTACAATGACCACAATCTCGACAGGTGTACGTAGTTCACTGCCACGTATCAGCTACGTGAAAGCCATCGACATTTACTTAGTAATGTGTTTCGTTTTCGTGTTCGCCGCTCTGTTGGAGTACGCAGCGGTTAATTATACTTATTGGGGCGCTAGGGCTAAGAAGAAAACGAAAAAGAAAGATGGTGATGACAAAAAAGTGATTTCCTCGAAATCAGGTAAGAATTCGTCATTTCATTTCGGATTAATCAAATTGAAAGAAGCTTTCTTGGAGTTTAGAATTCTTGGATGTATTTTGTGATAGTTTTCCATTCATACTATAGAATGATGAGACTCGTGCGTCTCACATTGTCCAAATTAAAGAATATAATATGTACTTATAAGATATTATATTAATAACAATATTATATATATAATTAGTAACTTATAATATTATAATAAATTTAACATAAATGAATATTTATTAATATTTATGTTAATTCATTTATATTAAATTATACGTTTATTAATAATAATTTATATATTATTTTGTGCATTATGTATTATTGTTATAGGTATATTTATTATTATTTATTTATTTCTTTTTATAATTTGTATTATAATAAATTATAATATTATCATATTTCTAAGACCGTTATGTCTTGCAATATTTACAAGATCATCATTATTAAACTAGAAATTTTTAGTATAGAGTGCACATAATCTACAAAAATATATAAAATGTCTGAAAGAAAAGCCACATCAGACAATGTAGTGTTATGCAACTCTCATGACAGGGAACGTATTAAAAATCCATTCATTGCTATCTTTTACTATGAGAAGAAGAACAAAGGAATGAAATAAAAGAATCATACATGTACTTAGAAATTGATTTCTTCCAAATTTGGTAATAGATAATTTGGAACATAACTTTATACTTGCTTATTCATTTATTGGAAAGAGGAATAAACAAAGTATAAAGCAATGTTTTGTCCTAAACGTGCAAAATAGAAATCTCGTCATATTTGGAAACAAAAGAGGGAAGTGAAATGAACATATCCGTGATATCATCTCGTAAAAAGAAGATAGTAATTTTACAGGAAGCAAAGCGAGTTCTCCTTTTCCTGGTTCGACAGAAGCGGACATAATAGAGCTTCAAGATCTCAGGATGTCACCTCTGCCGAGTATAAGGAACAGATCTGGCCTGGTTAGCAGCAGTTCGACGCCTGGAACCGGAAGAGAACACGATCCGGCCAAGTTTCCTCCTAGCTTCCGGATTTCTAGAGTCGCGGCCTACAATACATATGGGAGGAACACTGGTCTTAGATATAGAGGACCTAAGCAACATAAGCCCAAGGTAAAACTATTACATTTCACAATTGCACATTTTTTTTTTTCTTCTTAATTTTCAAGTCTCAGTGAATGATGAATAATGATATTCTCAGATTCAATTTCATCGGAGACAAAAGCTTGAATAAAGAAATTTCATTCAATGTTTCTAACTCACTTTTTTTTTTTTTTATTAAATTGTAAATTAAATTGTTCTATCGGATTGTATTTTTTGTAAGTTAAAAATGTATTAACATGTTAGAAATTATATTGTTGTATAATTGTTCAAAGTTTAATCAAAAATATCATAATATTTTCTAATATTATATCATCAATAGCTTAACATACGTTTAATCTTTTGAAACAATAATTAGTAAATTATAGTATAATATAATAATAATTAGTACATTTCTGCTGACATTGTTTCCTTATCTTACTCTATGATATTAGTAGTACATTGAATTTTTATTTTAATTAAATATTTTCCTGCGTTAATTTTACATTGATTGATCAACCGATTAACAACAAACAAAATTTCGTAAAAATGTAAAATAAATGAGGAACTGAATAATAAGGAATGAAAATATTATGATTACAGGTATTACATGCAATACGAAGAGGAGCATCGGTTTTACGCGTATCGATGCCGAAGATCAAAGACGTGAATATTATCGATAAATATTCGAGAATCATATTTCCAGTAAGTTTTATGCTGTTCAATGCCATCTACTGGGTGTTCTATTTTCTCTGAGTCTAGTCATCGGTATCCTCTCGCCATCTGCCGTACGAGGAAAGATAAGAAAACACAAGGACCAATCGATAATCGAGAATTTACACGGATTTCAATATCAAATGCAGATCAGCTTCTACTTGAGGGTTGAAAAAAGGAGAAGAAAATTTTTGAAATTAGATTTCCGCATAGAGCGACGAAATCTAAATCGAAATCATTATTGTCGATCGAAGGGAGCAGGTATCGAAAGTACTGAATCGAAAGCTGCCAATATTTATCGACGAGGGAACACCTTCGAGATTTACATGTTCGATTTAATCTTGAGATGTAACAATATTTTAGGAAATACGTTCCTATTCGATATTTCATCAATTCGAATGGATAATGTCGCGGTGTTTGTTGAAAAAATTTCGTTTAAGTAGCATGAATCGGTCAAGTCATCGAAAGGATCGATAACTTCTTTTTTGGCTGTGCCTGCGGCAAACGTTTACGTTTCATTTTGACGGAAATTTTTGGAAATACATACGGATTTGAAAAGTATATACCTAAAATTCTGGAAAAAGTTTTTTACGCTTGTTTATTATTTAATTATTCAATTTTATTATTTATTATATTTATTTATATCATTTATTTATTATATTAGTATTATCATTAATTTTATTAATCTTCTAAATAAACACACATCTTCTAACAATTGACGAAATTGATCTACGTATCTCCACAATTTGTTTGCACGTGTGATCAAGAATTGTGTTCACCTTTATTTAAAACATATCGTAAAATAATCTACAAAATCTAAATGCTTAAGTTTTATGGGATCTATCTAAATTTTTTTTTTTACAAGTACTTCGGTTTCTATTACATTTTCTAGTATCAACGATAAGTGTACTTTTCATCGCGTTCATTTTCA